GCCAGAGGTTGGGGGCCTGTGGGCAAATAGGAGGCCTACCTACAGAGGCGTTTTGTTTGACCCATGTGGTATTATTTTAAAAATATTGAATTAGCTGCTGGTACTTAAAAGTCAGTAGATTCTATATAAAATTGTGAACTTACAGCCTATCCTGAAAACAAAAACAAAAACACACAAAATAGATCTGGTAATACTGGGCCTGAGGCCCCCCTGGGGACCCCTGAGCTGGGTCTGAGCCACAGTACCCCCCTCACCCAGGCCCAGGCCCAGGCCCAGGCCCAGGCCCAGGCCCAGGCCCAAGCCTGTTTCCAAGGCTGTTACACTTGTGCTGCTGAAATGCACTAGAGTCTGCGACCCCTGCTGGAAAGCTACCAAAAAACATGCAACGTGGAGGGAAAAAAAAGTAAAAGATGCCCACTGGGATCTATTTCCGTTACATTCAGGCCATTCCCTGGAAGAATGCATTCATTTTTCTAGAGCTCTCACAGTTCCAAAAAACTATTGACAAAGTATGGCCCAGTAAGCGTTACTCTAACGGCCTGAGAAAGCTGGGAGCGGATTCCCTGCAGGCAGAGGAAGCCGAGGAGGCCTCATGCGGGAGGCAGGCCTGGAGGTGAATCGTGAGAGGCTGTGCGTCTGCTGGCGGCACATCAGGCTGACTCAGAGAGAAAGTGAGTTTACTGGGAGTCCAATTACCTCCAGGGATCAATGAGAAGATGAAAGGCCAGGCTTGGAAAGGGGCAAGGATGGAGGGAACCTTGGCACCAAGGAACATGCCAAGATCATGCCACGGGGACTGCACCCCTGGGATATCCTGGGACATCCACGTGGCTGCACGTGCCACTTCGTTCATGGCCCACGGTGGTCAGTGAGCACTCAGCTGTCCTTGTGTTCTTTAATCCCTCAAGACCCCCGGGAGCCCTATGAAGCCCCAGCTCAGGGCCTGGAGATACAGACTAGGAGCAAGAGCCCACCTCCCACTGAAAATCTCTCCACAAGAGGACGGCAGTGCCCCCTGCCTAAGAGCGCTGTTTGGTTGCTGGCCACCTTCCAAAACTCAGAAGTCCACGTGGGTTCGAGGACTCTAGGTGGAGGCGGGCGGGAGAAGGCAAGCCAGCACAGGGAGCGGAATGACGGACCAACCTGAACCACTCTAGGATCCCTTGTACCTTCAGAAAGTTAATTAACGTTTCTCATCTGCAGATCCCAGATCTTTAAAATAGAAAGGATGCCATCTGCCTGAGCACAGCCCAGGGTGGCTGTGACGACGCCGTTCAGGGATCCGTTCGCAATTTCAGAAATACTCATCAGATATCTATTAGGTGCCAGGCACTTAGCTCTGTCCTGGGCACAGACTCTGAACAACGCTGAAAATGCAATCGAGAGCCAGTACTTTATGCTGATGACAGATTTAGACAAGGGAGACCCAGGTCATCGCCTGAAACTGATTCTGTGTCACCTTTCCCCAAACGGATACACTCATCTGCAACTTTCCTTCTTTTTTTGATTAATCAATAGCAAGCAGGCCCCTTCCTCCAAAAATATATTATCTTAAGGCATGTGAAGTGCATTAAGCTAAAAAGAAAAAAACAAAACAAAACAAAAACTCCTTTAAAACATTTTACTCTGATCCTAAAACAAGAAACAAGTGGTCTGAGAAGCAGTGAGGCCTGGTGCTGGTGGGTTTCAGGTCGAGTGTGCACAAGGAGACGCTGGCCTATTGTATGAAATCTGCTTCCTTTAACGTTCAGCCTGTGTAATTCATACAGACACCACACAGGCTCCAATCAGCAATGACCCAGACAAAATAAAGTTTGTAGGAAAGGCTAGTGAAGTAACCCTGTACATTCCCATCGGTGCTTCAGAACTGCCCAAACGCTTTCCATATGCATTTTCTCACTTCCTTATACTAATCTTTCCGTCTGTGTTGCAGAGGAAGAACCCAAGGCTCAGAGAGAGAGAAATCTTTTGCCTGGTGTGCCGGGGAAAGAAGCTGCCTCCAAATCCAGCTCATCCTTGCATCCCCCCACTGGAAAAGGGCAGCCAGGCTAGAAAGCACTGGGTCACTAGTGGGATTTGAAGAAAGAAAAATACTCACGCCAGAGTGATGGGGAACCACCCAGGTCTTTTCCGATACCAGTGGGAAAATGGAGGCTCTCCACAATGGCTGGAAAGTTACTGCTCTTCCCACCCGGCAGCTAGAATGCTGTAACTCCTCACTCTTCTAGGACAGGACTGTGTCTCATGCAGGGGCCCTAGCTGAGAGGCACAGCCTGGAGCCTGGTGTCTGAGCTATGACCCTGGGTACAGGCTCAGTTCCAGCAGGACATCAATACATGTGACTGTTCTGCCCTCCAAACTCAAACTCTAGCCCCAACAGGGGGAACTCAGTGCTCACGTGCGTATGTGCCACTTGGAGCGGATGCTGTGGTCTGGGAAAGGCAGTGGGCACTGATTAAGCAGTTTTACACCAGCCAGTCCATCTTCCTGGCCCCTCTCTAGTCACCATCACATTTTAATTGAAAAGGAGCTTTCACATGGCCTTTCCTTTCAAAGAGCTCTGGGGACTTTTCCAGTAAGAGAACTTCTTTTGACAAAGAAAGGACAAGCCCCAGCTAGACTGCAGAGGCCTAGTGAAGGGTCCTGGACATCCACACTGTGCAAAGCACTGCTTCAGACCGTGGGACCTGAGGCTTCACACCAGGCGCACCAACACAGCTAAGGGCCTTGGGTGTTCCTGATTCCATCTGCAAGTTCAAGGTACCACTTTCTCACCCGTTTTCCATGCCAAAACAAAAAAAACCTCCCATCTTAAAGCTACAGTGCCTTGTTCACCAGGCAGCCTTGGCCTGGATGTGCAGCAGAGGAAAAACACTCAAGAATCATCGGTAAGGGATCCTCATTCACGCTGGTGTCATGATTACCCGCTGACTTGAGAGTGCTTAGTCACAAAGTTGTCACCTCTGTCAAACTGCTGATAGAGTCAGAGGGACCCACTGACTCCAGAAGGCTCCTTTCGAAGTTGGTCTTTCTCAGCCCAGAGCCTGGGGAAACCTTATGTAACAGAATGGTCCATTTCAATATACTATTTCTGCAGTCCTAAGGGAGGAAAGCATCTAAGCCCTGGAAATACAGAGCTTAAGGCGGGGGCTGGCCACTGAAGCGCTCATCTGGAATTTCACCAGGTCAGGCTTCTTGTAAATTGTTCCCAATTGTTACGAGAGCAGAAAGCAGAGTGAGAATCCCCAACGAGGAAGGGTGGGCTTGACAAACGCAGGGAGGCAGAAGTTGGGTTGTCTCCCCCCCATTTTTTTTTTTTAAGATGGAATTCCTGAAATTAACCTTTGAGTGGAAGTTGGTAATTGCGTTTGAACAAATTAAGGTGAGATTTGGCTACAAAGCGAGAACGCAAAAGTCAGACCTGAAGCATCCTGCGTGCCCCACGGGCTGCGGCCACCGAAGCCCCCAGGGCACCGGCGCCCAGGCGCAGGGGACGCGTCCGGGNGGGGCCGGCTCCCCGGCGGGCGGCGCAGCGGAGCCGGTGGTACCGGGTTCCCAGCGCTCTGGCTGCCAGAGGAGCGGGCGCACTGGGCTCCGAGGTCCCCGGCAAGCAGGGGGACCGCTTCTGGGAGCGCAACTCAAAAGACAGTGGATTTGGATTCCGCTCCCCAAAACCCCCCTCAAAGCGTCTTGGTACAAGTACTGGATAAAAATAGCCGGCGGATAACGCTGGGGGAGGAGCGAGACCTGCGCAGGGCGAAGCGAGGGAGCCACTGGTCTCGCAAAGTAGGGGGCGAGCGGAGGACGGATGCGCCCCCTCGGGAGAGGGGCCCATGTGTGCCAGAAGCGCGGACGCGAGTCCTTGAGCGGTGAGACCTACAGCGCCACCCAAAACCGGCGACCAGCACACGCACCGGCGCCCGCACCCCGGCTCCCGATCCGCAGCTTCCCACCCCGCACCGGCTCTGCCCGAGGTCTCGGAGCAGGGGGGCCGGCGGGGAGCAGCGCGCGGTC